TTCATCAACTTAACAAAAACTCCCCCATCCCCACTTTACTGGCACACCTCCATTCATCAACTGTTGAGCTGCAGGTTTATTCTCAGTAAGGCTCCTGGGTAAGGGAGAAGTATTTGAATGCTTCATATCCACATGCTTTTTTGTGTGTGTTACTTACTGGATTTATATATAAAATACAGTCCTGTCAATCGGTGCAGCCATAATTCACCTAAATCAACACCGAACCAGAAACTTTCCCTATACTGCAGACAAATCTAATATGTTCTCACTTGTCTCAGATGATTCATAGCAATGCAGATCATTTTAGTTCCATTTGCCCAAGTTAAGAACATTTCTGAGATCTCTGCAGGCCATCCTTTACATGACTGTTTTGCTGAAAATACATAACTTTTATGCTACACATTTTCCACAGAGTAACTTTGTATTGCTGTGCTTCCACATCAAAAAACTAAATCATCTCCAATTGTACAGGCAAATATCTCAGAATCCAATAAAACCAAAATAGTTTGACAGCTAAACAAAGAGTTTTTTGTTTGTGTTTTTGTTGAATAGACCTTATACTGTATAAGATAACATTATGTTTTGATTTATACATTTAAAGTAACATATTCATATGGCATTGACGTATTACTGTAACCAGAGTTCTATTGCTGGCTGCTGGGGGATAAGAGCTTGTTGTCCTTTTTACGTATTGTTGCATAATTCTATCTAATAGTATTTCCCTGCAGCCTGGTGTCAGGACTGTCATCACAGGACAGCCACTGAATGCTGGGTAATTAGCACTGTACCCAATCAGCCTCCCCACCACCGCCTCCCTTTCCCATCCTGAGACACAAAGAGGCGCTGAGGGAGGGGAGGCGATTAAGAGAAAACAAGGGATAAACGGGGAGATAAACTGTTTGGTGTCATCGCTGCCATCAATCTCAACGAGGAGGAAATGAGATTTGGAATAGAGAAATATTATTACAAAGCAGACAGTGATGAACGAGGTAACGGATAGAGAGACACAGAGAGAAACGGGGCTGGGGTGGGGGTATGGAGGGGTGAATGGGGGTAGAAGATGCAGTTTCTATCCTCAGCCTCTGCGTTTCAGAGCAGAAGGACTCAGAGTCCACTCACATAAATGCATGGTAACTTGAGAGGACACTCTGTCAGGCCGTCAGTGTGAGACTCACTTATATCTGTCTGGTCAGCAGAGGGAGATTCCATCACTTTGGCGGCGGGGTCTCCCTCTCTCTGTCTGCAAAGACAGGGTTTGTGGACCTAGATGTAGTTGATGTGCCCTCCACCCCACAGAGTACAGTATTGAACCTAAGGTTTAGTAAATATCTACCCTGGTGACCTGTTTTTCACAAGGCTGAAGCTGCCTTTATAGGGCTTACAAGGGAGCTTGCAGGCTCCGCACAGCCAGACTACCTCCCTTCTGTCTGGGCTCAGACTATTGACCAGGGAACACTGGCCTTATACTGCTCAGTTTGGCAAGGAAACATAATGGCAAGCCTGTGTGTAAAAGGAAATGACTGTATGAAAGATTTTGAGGATAGTAAATAGCATTCCTGCATGCCCGCCCTATAAGGTGTGTTGGTTGTCTATTTTCCATCAGAAATAAACAGTATTTAATCATTTGTAACTTTTATTCAAAAATAATTATGTTTGACTTTAGAGTGAAACGTTTATTTTCAAGATTTCAAGATTCAAGGCTTTTATTGTCATTTGTATATAGCTACAGTGTAGTTATGATCAGAGGCTCCTCCAACATTACAACATAATAAAGCAGATAAAATAGTGCAAGTAAATAAAATAAAATAGAATATAATATAAATAGTGGAGAATAGTCTGTATACAAGTAATTGGAATATTGATAAGTTGCGAACAGATGAATGTTATGGATGTTCTTTCAAAAGTTCAGGTGTTTAACAGTCTGATGGCCTGTGGGATGAAACTGTCCCTGACTCTGGTGTCTTTAGTCCTGATGCTGGTGGTTATTTTAAACTGATCGATCTCATTTTTACCATAGTTCATTTAGATCTGTAAGAAAAGTCACAAAATACCTCAGACTTCATGTTTCTGACGTCATAAATGTATAATATATTCTGCCCATTTGCCAATGGAGCAATATATCATTGTTTTAATGCAATGATGCATTGCACCATTGCATTAAAACACAGAGGTAAACCTTGCCACACATTTTTTCTAAAGCCTCACGTTGAACATCTGCTTATAACGGGATGGAATTCCAGAGAATGTCTTAAGGTTTCAAAACAAAACAAAATCCACAAGATGCACTTGAGTTTATTGTGTCTAAATCCCCTCATTTCCATAATAGATTGAAACCAGGGAATCTTGAAATTAAATATATCTCCTGTTTTATTACATAGATCATGAGTAGCAGTAGGGTGAGATTTCATTTATTATAATACGTTTAAGCGACTGAACCTGAATGTGACTCATGGTAAACTGAACTTTTATAGTTATAAAAAGTGCTTGAAAATGTTGAGTAACAGTGTTTCATCCTAAAGTCTACAGTTATGTTGAAACCTGACATTGAGCATCACAGGGTTTGATGGAGAATCCCTGTGAAGCGAAATATTCTTTCAAAACATTAAACATGCAAATGTTAAATAAACTTTTGCCTCGAAGGCAGTTTGGTCCAGTTGAATCAGGACGGGGGATGGGTCACATTTCAAAATGAGATTTCTCATCTACATGCATTTCTTTTCTTTTTGTGCTAAGCAGATGAGATTAATTATAAAATAATATGATATATCTCTCCAAACACATTTAGTATTTATTATATTCATTTTCTTTTGGGAATACTAGCAACAGAAAACCCATGCGAACAAATGTAAGGGTAATAGTGTGGCTTCAAGCTTATGCTGACGGAGTGCAGGGAGAAGAGGTCTGCCTGTAAGTGAGTACTGAGTGATGTAATCAAAGCAAATATAAAAAATATATATATTTGGACAAGCCAGAGATACTGCATGAGGGTGAGATGGAGAGTCGCCCAGGATGCACAAGAAAACCCTGCAAGATGTCGTCTTATCATCATGTAAACATTTCATTGGCACTTTTAAAAAGGTATGACAATGACTCAAGAGGAACCAAGCTACAAGGAGAGGGTTAAAAGAAAAAATAAGGATGTCATAATAGCTGCAGATATTTTTGAATGCATGTTCCAAATTCTTGCACGTATATTATCTGTTACAATGCACACACCTGCTCTAGATGGGGGTGGAGGGTAGTAGTGTGAAGCGCTGATGGACAGACTGCAGAGAAAACAAGGAGACATTGTTGCTGATCTGCTGAAGGTCACAGGCAGTACTGTGTGCCAAGACTGGCACCGCATCACACAACAAGGCAACCATCAACATGCAATGTATAGGGGACTAAATCAACACCACAGTGAATGAGCCGCTGACTATTAATTTGGATCTCCAACTACAGTCATTACACGAGGGAAGCAAATAGGCTTTTTCATTCCATCACTGAAAAATGAAAACATGTACGATAAGCTATTGCCTTCACGTTTCCCCTTCATTTTTCCAGATAAACGTCACACAATGGGACTTTCATTAGCCAGTTTCTCTCTCTATCTCTATCACTCTCTCACTATCTCTCTCTCCCTCTCCTCTCCAGATGTCAGGTACAGTGGGAGAGTCTGTGCTGCTGGATGCTGTCTGACACTTTTCAAAACAATGATAACAAGCTACAGGCCCGTCCTTCAGCTGTCCAACCCCGGAGCTCCCATCGCAGGCACACCCACTGGCGGCACACACCAAATAACCAAAATAAATCACACATATTCAGTACACAAACACACACACACACACACACACACACACACACACACACACACACACACACACACACACACACACACACACACACACACACACACACACACACACACACACACACACACACACACACACACACACACACAGTGGCCTGAACAGCTGAATGATGAAACAAAACCAATAATAACTGTTTTGGTTGTGAACATGATCAATAATGGTTCTATAAGTATTTGACACAAACAGACAAACCAATCTGCACCATTCAAGATAAATCATTTAAATCAAAAAATGACCATGCAATTCTAAATATTTGGGGATCTTGACCGCACTATTTCAATGAAGTTGATGCTGTGATTTTTTACCAAACAACTATCAGTAGAACACTTTTATTGCCTGGAAATCTACAGCCATGCGTAGGTCTTTTGATGCATTTATGTTTGCGTAACATGTTAACTTTTTCTAAATCAGACTTATTACAAAACAATAAATGACCTTTCTTGACACCTACATTGATTAGCTGTGTGTCAAATGATGATTAATGTATTGGTAAGGTCCAGCTGTTTCAGCGTGAAGAAAGCATTGTGCACTCTCTATGAGGTGTGGTCAAGTGTGTGTTTTTGTTGTTGTTGTATTCCCCCTCCCCAGATGTTAGCATGCTTTTGGACAAGTTTTTCATCAGTGCGTCTCATATTAAGTCTTTGAGAGAATCTCACTCTCAGCCTGCTGACAATAAGAGCCACACATCTCTTGTAAAGCACAGGTTATTCCTAATAATCAGTGCTCATCAATGACTTGACTGAGAAATACAATTTGAAATATTTTGTGGGTTCGGTTATTTTGTGTGTTATTCCCACAATATAACCACACATAGCCACTACATTAACTGCAAACACCTGCTAAATATTAAAAAAGCTGTCAATGAAACGTTGCCAGGGAGAAAACCCCTGAAAATAAAGCTAGCTAGCAAGCTTTTATTCTACAATGAGGACATGTATTCTTGGAAAGTTGTTTGTAACCTGTAGATTGGTATATAAATAAGAGCATCAGTAGCCTATTCTGCTTATATTGTAGTATTAGGCCTACTTATGTTTGAGTACTGCTTCCACTGTTGCCCTACTCTCCCACACAATCAATGAGCCCAAATAAACAGAGAACACTACTTCGGAGTGTGTGTGAACTTCAGTGTGTGTGTTTTGCTCTTACTTTTCATAGTCGTGTTTGCAGTACAGCAGCCGGTCTCTGCAGTAACAGGTCCCGCTGAGCGCGCTCAAACACACGGCGCACTTGACGCAGGTCTCGTGCCAGGAGCGCTCGTTCACGCGCAGGAGGAAGCGGTCTGCGATGGGAGACTCGCAGCCCGCACACACCTCTCCCCCACCTCTGTACTCTGGACCTGGAAGGAATATAACAAAGCGTGGACAGAGACTCAGAGGCAGGGCCAAGTATTTAAAAAAACACTGAGGTCATGCGTCCCAGTCTCCCCAATAAAGCCTCACCCTATAGGGAATTATATTTACTCCCCCAAAATGTCCTAATGGCCCAAAAAAATCAACATAATGTTACATCAATTTTAAATAATAATATTCTTCGACTAAATCAAAAACAATGGGGATATTCAATTGAACACAAACACTGCTGCCCCCTTAGACGGAATTAACAGACTCATTCAGAGAGAAGTTCAGAGAACCCCCAATTTCTAATATCATTTTTTATCTCAAGTTTTAAAATGACGAGCAAGATTTGAATTGTAAAAGTAATAAATATGTGTGTATAGTTGTAGTTTATTGTACTATTTAGCAATATCATGTTTTGTTTTCTTTCCTGGACAGAAAGAAAAATACGTTAAAAACTATGACAACATTAAAGTGTGTGTAGTTTTTGGTTTTGCCATTTTCTTTTATTCAATGTGCGTTTCTAATGTTACCATATCAATTTTGCCGTGATAATGATTGTATCATACTTGCAGGTTTTCTCATACACTCACACTATTCCTATGGGAATTTATATTGTGGCAGACTTACGCGATGCTACATTCAACTTGATCGTGATAATAGTCTATGGTACTTCTTGCTGTTGGTCTGTATAGCCTCAAATGAATAAATAGTATACCCACGTTTATGACGAGCCCTTATATTCTGGTAACAGGTCAAATATTTATTTTTCATTGCGAGGTTATAAAGTTTGGGCCTTACACGTTAACTCACCGAAAGGCGTTGAGGATGGAGGCTGCTGCTGACAGGGTTGCGGGCTGTCCTCTGTTTTCATCCCTTCTCTCCTTCCCTCAATGTGATCGCTACAAAAAGAAAAAAATGCACAATGTATTTTTTTTAATATTTTAAATGTATCATTAATGTATCAGGAGAACCACTGCAGTGATTACAAAACCAAAAGAAATACATTAATGAGACACAATGTAGGCCGATGTACGCAGATTAGGAATGCAGTCATTCAGAAAATAAACTAGTAGCCTATGATACATTTTTAAATGACCAAAAAAACAAGTTAAATTTAAACTGAAATCGATGCTTGGATTTCATTTAAGTTAATACATACAGAAATAACTGATAAAAATAGAAAAACATCAAATACGAGATACGTTTATTCAATACAAATCTAAATAAAGGAATTAGGCCTAAATATGAGAACCAAAATTATATTATGCATATTTTGGGCAAAAGCTTGAGGGCTCGATATCGAGTTTGGTCAAGTCAAATTTGGCATTTTAAAATGAAATCTTGACCTTCAAATATAATTCAACATAATAACCAAAAACGTAACAAAAAGAGGATATGTATGCAATTTTAAACACAAAAAAACAAAAAGTAGCCTACATTCAGGTATTTTTTTTAATCCCAGTTTCATTTCAAACGACAACGTTTTGTTGAAATGACTGCATATTTAAAGTGTTCTCTTTAATAACATTTTCAAGGTTCCAGGTTATTTTTCCAATTTAAAATGGTTTCATTATGTGACAAATGTTGCAGACGCATTGACAGACGCTGACGGCAAATGTTGTCCTACAAAAAATGTGTTGCGGAAATAGACTTTAGCATTCTTGTAACTTCTCTACAGGTTCTTCAATGTTGATGCCACGCTGTGGCCGTATCCGTCTCTGTGGAATTAATTTGTTGAGGCTCGCTAAATCAATAGGTCTACATATAGTCTAATGTTCCTGTTGGATATCGACCTTCAGATTTGTGTTGTGATGTTTGCAAATAAGGTTGTTTTAAATACATATATATATATAATCGCTTTTGGGAAGGCTTGGGTAGTTAGCCTGTAAAATCCACAGATATTGAATATCTTCGGGTCATGCCGCTTTGTAATGGGAAATGAAATAAAATAAATGAATTATGTAAATACAGCTAATCTGATAAGATGTGTTGCCTAATTGCGGTTTAAACATTACTGACATATTTTAGTAAAACATCAATCATTACTCTCTGATAATGAATACTGGAATAAAATGTTCACAAATATTTAATTACCTTTCTGCAAGTCGCCTGGAGATATAATTGAAGGTAATATAATTGCCATATCATACGAGGATCAATAAATTGTACAAAGTTGATTTCAAAGCGCACTGGGGGGATTTACGGGATGAGTACCAGTGGTTTAAAGGTAATGACCAATCCTTTGAGGTGGGAATTAATATACAAAGAAGAGGAAATATGTTAAGTTAAATGTGAAAATGTTGAAATGGACAACATTATCCCCGTGTAATAAAAGAAAAAAGTGGAGTTTTTATGCGTATTTTTGTGTCCAAACAAATGGATGTGATTACAACAGCTGTAAACTAATGTGATAATGACATTTTTCACGATAAGCATCAGGGATTCTCCAAAGCAGATATTTGATACTGACCACCAACAGTAATACAACCGCTTCTCTTCAGTTGTCTGTATTAACATATCAAATGTAATAATTGATAATGTGTTTACCTTGGCAGGTTAAAAAGCACAACATAATGTAAGCAAGCCCTGATGCGGGCGTAAGGAACACACTCATTCAAGAAATAGCCTACTATACTTGTGAATCGCCAGCCTGCCTTCACTGGCAACCTGTTCTTGAGTTACGGAGTCCTACCTTGAGGTGAAGCACACTCCTGCTGAAATCTCAGTTGGCAACATTAAAACCTGGACCAACTTTCGACCAGTAAATGAACAGACGCGTTCACAGATTGTTCACCTGTATCTCACAGTCCGGCGCGCATGTTGCCTACGGTAAAAATCCAAATACCATGATGACCCAAACTATTGTCTATTGTCTCCCGTTTTCTTCGCCAGCCGTGTGTGCGCTCTGACTTGTTTTGTGCGTAAAAAGGCGCAGAGGGAGGAGATGGACACACAAGGAGGGAGGGAGGTGCGGAAGATGATGAGGGGAAGATGAGCGATGATGCAGCCTGATAACTCAGATGAGGATGATCTTTCCCATTCTCTGTTCAAGGTTAGACGGAGACTTAATAGGACAGTTGGTACAGGAAAATACTTGGAGTGAGACATTAATCTATCTCCAAGTGAAACGGGAATCTATTATGAGGCAAATATGTTTTTATGCTATGCTTAAACTGCCTGATTCTGGAGAAAAGCTATTTATCAACAGGACAAAGGCAGATGAAGATGAGAAGATTTAGAGAATCATAATTCCATCTGGACATCTGAAATTGCTGCGTAACCTTATATGGCATTACATACTATAGTGAAACAGGTGTATAGATGAAATAAGGCTTATGTGGAAGTAGGAAAAGTGACATTTCAAAACATGTAATTAGAAATAACTGATTTATTGCCCTTCTGCTATTGTGTCTGGCATGTTTTCTCCACACACTGGGAGAAGACCGCCCCCTTGTGTCAGAACAAGAAGGGTGCATGAAACTTAACATCAGAGTTGAAATGTCTTCACATGACACCAATGAAGGCATATCTCAGTTTATGTACCACATAATCTGCCATCTGGAGTCTATACAAAATGTATAAAGCACAACAAACATGTAACAAAATTACCTTAAAAATACAACTCTTGATGGCAATTGAATTTAGCTGATTATAGTATGTTCAGGGAAAAACTTGATACCTATAGTTTGCATCTCCTAACCTGCAACATTCAAAGAAACTACATATTTTGAATAAAACTGATACATAAGTGAACCTATCTTGTCTGGTCTGTGTAGAAGACAGCTGGATGGTCTCCATATCAACATCAAATCAAGGAAATAAAAGGCATTTGTATCCAAGGAAACATTAGGTCTACACATTTCAACTGTGTTCCCTCTAAGAGTGACTCAAATGTGAGTTCAACACATTTAACTTTATGGTGACTAATGGTTATATGTCCTCAAGTGTTTTTGAATCCTTTCCAGTGAACAGTCTGGATATGTCTTTAGCTCCTCAGACAAAGAGCTGCTCGTCCTTCCCTGAGAGACTGCGCCTCAGTTTCAGGCCAGACAGGATCTTCTGTGCCGGTGAGGTAAAGTTCATTTCAACAGGAAATGTCTTTGGTGACTGACACAGAGCCGGCCTCTGTCCAGTACCCTGTCTGTTACAGGACATATTTTTGTTCTGAGTACCCTGACACCCAGATGCCACCGCCTGAGAAGACTCATGTCCTGTGCTGACTGATGTTTCGGTTAATATTGAGTCAAGTCCCAGCATGTACTGCACAACCGTGCGGGGGCTCAGAGGGACGTCCACTTTATTCTCTGCTGCAAAGGTGGACTGTTGTGGCTGGGGGGTGTCTACATTTTGGGAAAGTCTCTGTGTCCGTGGCTCTGGAGAGGAGCTGCGGCTGCTGTCAGCACTTCCTGTACAGCCCCTCTCTGAGGCTGCAGGCTGTCTGGCTGCCCGGCCCGGGTGGGGGAGTCTGGCTCCTGGGTTATGATGACGGTAATATTTCACAGGCTGCCTGGTGAAGCGATAGTGTGGCTGGGTAACCAAAACAGAATCCGGTTCCCTCACAGGCTCACCCTGAGAGTCGCTTGATGCCCCTCTCATAGCCATGACTAAAGCAGAAGAGGAAAACCAAGATGTGATTCAGAAAAGTGATATAAACACAGGTTATTGAGTACAGAAAACTTGGCTTTCCCTGCATATTGTTTTCCAGACACTTCAACCTTACCTTAAAACATTCATACAGAGTCTGTATGGAAAGTCTACAGAGCAGACTGGATCTATATACTGCATGAAGTGTTTACAACTAGGTGTGTTCTGGATTTGAGGTTGATAAATATGTGTCCAAAACTCAAAACTGCTCTTTTTTTGCCACAAAGAAAGAAGCACCTCAGAACTACAGAAAGAGTAAAGCAAGCAAGAAAAGATTAGACGCAATGCGACTCACCAAGTTTATAGATACATTCAACTAGATGGGTAGCAGAAAAAAGGAAGAAAATCTGTTTCTATAAATAACTTGAGGAAATGTGTAAAGCGCTAAGAAATATTGAAACTGTTTACCCTGGAAACTCTCTGCTTCCACTGTATTTGGTGCATAGGGAATTACTGAGTAACCGTAAACTAGAACAAACCATCGGTCTGTGAGGAATAAAGTAAAAGAATCGGGGGCTGTATGAGTAATACCTACAAGATCTCCTAAAGGATTAATTAAACAATGTCCTCAAGCAGCAAAGGTACAACATAGCATCACAATCTCTTACCAATTATACTAACAACTAAGACCTAGGCATCTATAAACGACATGACATCAACTATGTACATCTATTCTAGTCAGGAGGAACTGCTCTATCACTACGTCCCGCCTACCTGCTTTCTCATTGGCTTGAGGGCTGAGCTGGTCCACTGCCTCATTGGATGAAGACTTGTCAGATATATAACCCTCACTTGACTGCCTCTTGATTGTTCGACTCTGTTGGGATGACACAAGTTGAGTGGTGCAAGTGTTTACAGACCACGTCCAGATCTGACATACTGCAGAACTATGTCATTAATTACTACTGGATGATTCTGCCGCATTTTATTTGCAGGTTATTTAAACCAATTCTACGACAGATACTGTTACTTTGTGTCTCTAAGCCATCTGGTACAACCACTGTAACTTACTACAGTTGGGTAAACCATTTTTTGTTTATAAACCATAGCAGTGAGAGGTCCACACAGTATAGCTTGACAGAAGGCGGTGCAGGTCAGCGACTAGAAAGCAGTAAGAAAAAACAGCAGCTGCCCTGCGTGTTAATCCTGATAAAGGTGCCAGGTGCTGATTAAGACTATTAAAACAACAGCTAAACAAGTAGCTCAGCAACAAACTCACTCTAACCTATACAAAGCAACTGCCATGGATCCTTTTTACCAGAAGCAGCAGTGAAATGCTTTGAAAAAAAGAAGATTGTGTCCTGCACAAATCCATCACTCGAAAACATCACTAACTCTTTGTTTGAGCTGAATGTTTTTGAGACTTACTTCTAGTGAGTGTGGCCGCTCTCTGGTGGAGGTTTCATGTTCAGAGCCGGCACAAATGTCCCCATCCAGGGCACAGGAAGCTCTGGGAGGGGTGTCTGGAAGAGGTGCAGTGGGAGCTGGAGGAGGGGGCATACTGTGTCTCCGCTGAAGGCCAAAAACCTTGTCACGATGTGTGATGAGGAACTCAATAAGGACAGACTGGTAACTAGTCTCCAGCAGGGCATTAATTGACATTTCCGTAGACACTAGAGGGCGCAATAGTGTTGGCCCAAACACTATCCCCAAATTGCTGGGGGACATCTTGTTCTCGTAGTTCTCTGAAACTCTGCGAAACCAGAAAGCACACACATTTAAAACCCATGAAAATTCGTTCTACTGGGTCGGCTAAAATGTAACCAGATGCTGCATGCTTACCTTTGGAGGTGAGACATCAGGTGCTGTAAGGTGGTGTAGCAATATGGATGGAGTTTCTGTAGCAGCTTTTGCAGGTTATAAATGATGTCCATTGTCTCGTTAGTGTCTGGTGCCGGCTCCCTTTCACTCAGGTGCTGAATGGTCCTTCCCACCGTGATGAAATTATGGTACAGGTCAAAGGTTAGCAAGGGATCTGGGAGCTGGGAGAGAGTCAGGAAGAGAAAGGTTAAAAAAAAAAAAAAGTAATTGGGAATTAAGAAACATAACTTGTTTCTCAGAAATGTGATGTATTATAAAATGTCCCTTGTAGTTGGCATGAAGACTTTTTTTCCCGAGAAAAGTACAATACAGTACAGCACGTTTAATTTATGTAATTAAAATTCACTCCTAAGAATTGTGATATTGAAGGTATTGGTTCAAATGTGTATTTTAAAAGGGTTAAAATCAACACACAGTTCTTAAATATTAATGTAATACAGTTATTACTTTTATAAATAAATAATTAAAACCTCCTGAAGAACAAAAAAAAAAAATAATAATATTCTTTACTGCATGCATGGTGTTTGAAATGAGTCCGAGTGTCATAGCCCACAAAGGCAAATATAAATTGCTTGGTCTTGGGAGGACTTTTAATCAGCCTTATTCAGTCAGTGAAGTGATTTGGCAATGACTCGTGTACCTCCTTGAAGAAGTGCTTAAGGATCGAGGTAATGTCATGTGGTGAAAGGTCAGAAAGGTCCACCTGATCCTTTTGAATCTCAAAGGCTTGACAAAGCTTCTGGATGCGAGGCTTGGACCCACTCACACGATACACCCCCTGGAAAAAAAAGAAGAGAGGTAAAAAACTGTTAGGAAACCACAACTAACTTGATGTCTCTATAATACATTTGGGTGACTGAGATATGAATAGTACCTGGACTGAGAGGGCCCGATTCTCAATCTCAGTTGTGCAGAGTCGCACCACAAAGGGGACCTTATCCGGCTCGTCCTGACACATCAGAGAGAGGTCCACCCCGAACACGGTCCCCTTCCTGTTCTCACACTCCAACTGACATACCTCCATACACTTTCTGTGCATAGCCAGACCACACTGAAGACAGGTACAGGACATTATCAACCAGTTTCAGCACCATTCATTTCTTGCTGTTCTTCTCAATACTCCCCATCACTGTCCATCTCCCCTATTTCTTACCTCCTCACATTCGACTCCATTGACAACAATGTAGTTTTCACAATGCTTGCATTTGACCATCTTGCTCTTCATCTTCCTCAGTCGGTGCGTCAGTGCAGCTCGTGACAGCGTTCGCACTTTGACTGGCTGACTGTCAATGTATTCTGAAAGGAGAGGTAAAGGACACAATCATACAGTGTAATTCCCATGTTGGGTTTTGGAGGCGTACAATGGCAATAACAAACCTGACTCAGAGGCAACATCTCGTTCGTCCATGTCGTCTGATGACACTGTCAAAGTGGATGCGGTTTTGGGCAGCCTCCTATTAGTGTGCGCTTCAATTATATATTGCAGAAGAGAAGGGACACAGTAGAGGAGAAAGAAAACGTGTTTATCTCGAAATGTTTTCATATGCACGTGACAGGAAAGTTACTGAAAAAAATGCAGACTTACCAGGGCTGGACAGAGATTCTAAACTGCCTCCAAAACTCTCACTGTCACTGTACCCTGTTCTCCCTTTTGCACCAAAACACACAAGAGAACAATAATGTTAATATTAAAGTGCAAAACGTATCTCATCACAGTGTATAAATGAGAAGTCCTTACTGCCATCGCTGTGTTGTCTGAAAGGGCTATCATCTGTCACAGGTGATGAGTCCGGCAGAAAGCTGAGAGGGTTACTGGTTTTTCGCTTGTTCCTATCAAACAAAAAGGTGGTGACAATATTTGTAATGAGTTGAAGTGCATACAAAATGTAAGCTATTTTCAACTTATAACACACTTAAAATTAATTAACTTTCCATTTTAGATTTGAAGTGCTTCTTCTAAAACATTATAAAAAGTTATTCTCTTAATATTAAGTTACATTTCTGTCCCGAAACATTTAGATTACGGTACATAAAAGACCTACACGCTCTCATGATATCCACAGTTAACATCACAGCCAAAGTTACATCAGAGACATCGGTCAGTTTACAAACCCTTTGCACTGTGGTACATAGTCCTGGAAGGTAAAGGTTTGAGGAGGTTGTTCGGGGCGGCGCTTGCTGAGGATGTAGAGCAGGTAGGGCTTTCCAGGCTCCAGGGATCTGCATGTCAGCTCCAGGTTCTGATAGCCGAGGGGCACCGTCTCTGAGTGCTGTCGCTGGTAGTAAAACATGTTGACTGTGGCCTGATGCAGAGAGGAGAAATAGTGGGGAGGCAAAGCAGTGATTTTACTGTGCTGATTTATCAGAAATGTTTTTACGGAGGTTTACGGAAATGTTGTAAAACATGACATGACTGTCAACATTCTGCAAGAGTATTTCCTTTAAATGATCCCATATTGAGGCAAAGTGTTGCAGACCACTAAGCACTGCTTAAGTAATTTATTGTATTCATTTATTTGACATATGTATTTATATATGGTTTACAACCAACTAATAGCAAATATTTAAATATGTGTGATTTTATACAAAGGGGAGGTGTTTTATGCATTGTCACTTCCCTTCTGAAACACTGGTGGTACAGTGAGTGGTACATAATTAATAAAGGTATTCTGATTACATCCTTTAGCTTATGCTGCTTTAAATTAATACCACAACCATGTTTGAGGAAGTTTGGCCAGAGACTGCTGCAGTGAAGAGGAAGCAGGCTGCCAGAAAGACAGATTCAGAGTTTCATACCAACCTCCTTTAGCACAGTGTCTCCTTGAAAGATGAGCTTGCGAATGTGGGAAATAATTCTCTCTTTGGCCTTCACTAACTCATCCTGGTGGATTTTGGTATCACTAACACACTGTCTGTACAGCAGCTCTGTCTCCACCACCTAGGGGAGAAAAAGAGAAGACCTGAGAGCTGCACATTTCTTCATGTGTGTCATTATAAACACACAGAAGAATAATAACACACAGTACTTGTTCTGTACTAGAACTACAATGTAGAGTGCATTAAGGGGACATTCACCTTAGCCTGGGCGTCATCCTTGGACTTCCGCCTCTTGTCCAGTGTTTTCATTCCAGCTATGTCGTCCAAGGCTTTGGCAGTGATAGCTTTAGCCTTTAATAGCTCATCACAGCGCTGGAAGTATTGCTGTTGAGCCTTTTTTAAAGCTGACACGGATTCGCTCTGGAAAACCAACATGCAAGCAGACACACAGAAAAAAAACAAAGCAGATGAGTTTGTTGCTAATGTGCAAGCCATGTGCAGTCAACATGTGTTAAGCATACATCAACAAGGAAATGCTTCAGAGTCTTGCTCAGGCATCCAGTCCGTAGGAGTGTGATATATTTAAGCTAAATTAGTTTTGACAGTGTAATAAACTGAGCTCAACGTCAGCCACACATATATTCCTAATTCACTTACCATCCTTCTTTGTTCTCTTGCCCACTGCTCCTTAAATTCCCGGCGCCATTTATCAATCTCATTCTTCTTGGCAGCCAATGCCTATGGGAGAGAGATATTGGATCAAACAGAAAGTCATAGTTACATACCCGCCACAAAAAGTCAGAGAAGATTTATACTAAAACTCAAACTTTTTGTATGTGTGTGTGGGCTTCCATACTTGGTGACAGCGGTTTTGTTGCAGTTCTGACGTCTTTCTAGAAGACAAACTGTTCTTGATGTCTTGGTCTAGCGCCATTGTGTAGATATGCTGCAGGGGCATCATTTCCTACAATGGCAAAAACAACTTCAGACTTAATTTCTATAGTAAACATTGCTAAGAGAGGAAAAATGTCCCATGAAACAACTCACATTACACAGTGACACATGTGATAACCACTTAAACATGTTCTTGGTACACAATAAATAAATAAAAACACAAGCTGTACCTGCTGTCCAACATTGGCTTTTGCTCCTTCAGCTGTCTTCATTACATTTTTGGCAAATTCTTGTTCTGTCAACAAAATCAATATATTTATACACGACAAGATAGTGTACATTGAGAAAAGATAAACAGAGTTGGTCGGTTGACGGGGACCACAATATTGATTGATGTTTTTAGCCTTGATTTTCAGCCTTGATTTTCCTTCAGATTAACCTGACATTTACTGAAAAAACGAATCGAATCTTCAACCCATCACTTTTTGTTTGTTCCAAACTTCATCACTTTTAAGAGAGATATCAAATCCTGGTTAATTCAGCAACAAACCTGCAACAATGTCTAGTTTTTAAATGTAATGTTTTGCTTCATGCAGATCTGTTTAATCTACTACTTACCTCTCAGTTCTAATGCCTGAGTTACACAAAAGGTTGTAGGGACAGATATTGCAAACTAGCATCTGCTAATAGCAATAAACACAGTACAATTGTCCTGTATACTGTATCTGTCCATATCAATTAAACCAAAAATACATTTCAAGAAGATAACTTTTTTAAAACAGCATTTGTGTGTGTTGATACCAGCACAAACAGACACATCTGTTTGCCTATTTATTTCAAAGGTGCCCATCTCCTTTATTACCCTGCTCTGCCCTGTTAATCTGCTCTATAATCCTTTCTCTCCGTGTGTACAGTTTGTGGTTCCCTGAGGTGACTGCATGTCATGGCAAGTTACAACATGGTGTTTTCCATACAACCCTAACCTAAAGTATTGGCTCTTCATCCATGGACAACTGAAGCCTGCTGACTACTGTTACTCTTTCTGACTGTTCTAGGAATATGTGGGCGTCTTGTTGCTATGTTTCTGGGACAACAGTTTCAATTTGGTAAACAACAACACGTTTAAATCTGTTAGACATCATTTGAAAAGTCCCACATACTTATAAATATAATAGCCCACACATAAAAACTGATAAATAGCAGTTTTTCCATGCAGTGGATTATCTCATGTAGAGACACATTTGCATTTTATAAGTCACAACTCATATTTTTCTGTGTTCAGTTTATATTCAAATGCATTAGCATTGTAAGCACAGCTGCCTTGATGGAACCACTACCATGTTTTGACAATAATTTGCATTTTACACAACAGTTTTCCGGCTTACCCAAGCTGATTCTTTTCTCCATCCAGGCCAGGAGGTCTTTTGCGTAGCGGCACCACATCTTGGTGTACTGCATTGCCGTCTCTACTCCATCATCACATCGACAGAGAGCCAGGTCCGCTTCCTGGACTGAGAGGGAGTACATCACCATCACTGCTGGCTCCACACACTCGGAGCTGGACCCAGCGATCACACACTGTCCATTAGGTCACACACAACATTTGTTCTGCTCCTCAAACAGCCTTCAGCTTAAAATAATCATCTCTATACTCTAGAGAGAAATCCCCCCAACTGGACTTTTATCAAAAATGTCACTTGGTCGTCACAAACCCCATACAGGAAACAATGAATGCATTTTCCAAGTTAGATCAGCTCCTCAGAATAAAAGTCCTGTGGTTTCAACAGGTTTCAGAACAGTACGCACAGTGGGTGTATGAGTCTTTGAGTAGGCACATATGGAGAAGTGACCTGAGAGAGGGTTCTTCTATGGACCAGAGAGAAAGAGCTTTAGCGAAATAACTTCCCTCCTCTCCTCCCTTCCTCTCTCTGCCTGGCCCCTCCCTCTTACACCTGTTCACTTATAATAGACAAGTCCAGTGCCAGTGTGCAGTATCAGTCCCCCTCCTGTCACAGCTCTTCTGTGGTCAGGCAGGTAGGGCGGTTAATGACAACCACTCTACTTCTTCCTCTGACTCACACCAAAACTGGGCATTTGTGACAAGCATGTGTTCTCTCAAGCACTCCCCACGTCACTTTCTTCTTTCCTCTTAATGTCTGTGCTACACTTTCACAACATTTGCAACAAAATGTCAAAATCTATTAGAGCATATCCTTATTTTCTTCTGTAAGCAAGAGTTAGAGCAACAGATGAAGTTCAAGAGATTGAACTTTGAAGGATCCACAGTTCAGTTCCAAGAAGCAGCTTTGTTTTTAACTGAGCATGCATGCAAAGCCAGAGAGAGTGCAACAACTTCTCCCCTCACTTCCTCACTCAGAGATGCAGATATTTGTTCTGGTCTGTTTTTTTCTTCTTTTCAATCAGACACCTCATCCAGTCAGTGGTATACAAATCCAAGCAGGGTGATATTTTGTCTTCAAGCAAAATCGAAACAAAAAAACAGGCAGTTTAAGAAAAATTAGGACTTTGCGGCAAGATTGTGTGCCAGGGTTGACCTCTGGTAGCCTTCCTCTCTGTGTTTTGTTTCAGGAAGAGCTCTGAGCACTTTCAGAAATGAGCCTCCGAAAAGATTCTGTGCCGCCACATGGGTTCCTCCCCCTGCGCTCGGATTGGGGATTATCCTTGTCAGGTCCAGATTGTGAAGTGACAGGCTTTAGAGGAGCATCAGTGAGGTTTACCTCCTCATGGTGTGTGACTGTCTGAGTAAAGGGGGGGGGGGGTTGAGGTGTTGGTAGGTTTCCAACCCCAACCAATGGAAACACATGAAACCAGATCGCCAAAGAGCATGCTCTAGTGATGTGCTTAGTGAGACTTGATTACACATATACAAATTAACTGGTCTCTCTGCAGTGTGATATAAGGAATGACTTTTAACCGGATACAGCAACAATGGCTGCGTTTAACAGAAGTGGATTTGGACATAAAGCTGAAAGAGGACATTGATGACGCATCTACAGTGGAAATAAAAAGAGTTTGTTGAGCCTTTTATACATTATTACTACCACTGTGGTTTTTGTAATGCTATCCAACCTGTAATTCCTAATCTCTTACTGTGGACTGTGACCTTAAAATCAAACTGAGTTGGAGTACTTGGCAAAGACAGTCTAGTCCTTTACTCTTTCTACACTATATTTACCTTAATAGCGTGCTTAACACTGAGACTTCCTTTTTCAGTAGACCCCTCTATTTCCCGCTTGTGTCTGAGGCCAAAACTGGCAGCAGCTGTCTCGTGCTTTAATCCTGGACCTTTATCCTAATCTTGTTACAACAGGGCAATTACAACTCACTGCTAATTACAAGAATAGATTTCAAGATAGAAGAAAATAGACTACTATGACAGCAACTGACTCAAACAGCAGAGCACAAACACACATTCACATACACACACGGTCCTTTTCCTCTCTTTGACATAAATCATACCTGGTTGGTTTCCATCCAGTTCATTTGCCTCAGCACATACCTGTGGACAAAAAGTAGCCTGTTTTAAAACAGAGTTTGACTCACTAATCCTCCACACACAATATAATATGTGGGTAATAAGCAAATTAAATTATATGTAAGTGCTTTAAAAAAATAAATCACAATATAAGTAACAGACATCAGTATTAAGCTAGGTATTGATTCCTTACATCATGCTGCTCTGTGGGATCTGCGCCTTCTGTCGAGATGGACTCTGAAATGGACTGTGAGTCTATGTCTACCAGATCCTCCTCGGAACTGAGAAGTGAAATAATTGATTGGGAGGGAAACACAGAAAAATGTAAATAACAATACCTAAAAAGTCATAGGGTTTGTTGGGGAACATATTACAAAAACATTACCTGAAGCTATGTTTCCACGTTGACGACAGATGTAGGAAACACATTAACTGCACATGTTGTTGATCAGTATCACACACAAATGCCTTACATAGATTTAAAAAATGTGGTCCCATTGCATGAAACAATCTGTGATGAAAGATCATGCCTACTGTAGCTGGCTGAGTTTAAAATGGTTGGATTATGGCCTTGAGTTGACAACTCTATCTAAATAGTTTGATCATGTTTGGTATACTCTGACCAGCCATGCTTACAGCCTGATTGAATGAAGTCTCACTTACAGTTTTTTCCCCCATCACAGTAATCAGATTACTCTGAGCAAGCCCAGAGGTGAACGGGACAAGACGTGGCTACACTGTGCGATTTGTAAATGTGAAATACTTACCAAGAAATTAAAGATAACTCAAGATTATCAAAGTCTCTGAAGATCTCACTGTATCGCTTGGTTTCAGATTTACGTTGCACTTTCTTCACATCTGGAATAAGAAATGGAAAGATTGTGTAAGTAACATCTATTTATTTAAGAACAACATTGTAGATTTGAGATCTCAAAATGTGATCTAACCACCAAACACAGACCATACAAACATGTAGATACCATCTCAACACAAAATAAACATTCTCTTTTTACAAAAAGTAGAGTGAACCACTTCATTACAAACCAGAGCCTTTTGTGCTTTGTAAATAAATAAGCTTTACGTTTTCTAGAAATTAAGTTTTCTTTGTATTATAATGCCTCAAAAACAAAAACATAACTTTGTAGGTATGAATGATGAATAAGCCATGTTGCTCAGACCTGCTTCTCTCTTGACATTTTGCAGATGTGTTCATTGAAACATACATAGTTTACCTATGCACTACTCATTACCACAGAGGCATCAGCTAAACAAGCATTAGTATAATGACTGTGCTAACAAGATCATAGAGATATAAATATAATGAATGGATAATAAAAAATCTAATTTAGTTCCTCTGAAGTCATGGCTAATAGCATTTCCTTTATATTTCTGAGAACTTGGTCTAAATGTAAACCAAAATATAATGAGGAACAACACGGTACATCTTGATAACAAAGTCTCAGTCTAATTTACTCCCACTAGTAAACTGATGGTTCACTTTCGGGCACACCAGACCGTTAAAAACTGTTGATTTACAACAGATGCAAAAAATAAGAAAAAGCCTCTCAGAGACGTCTACATTTTGGTCAACCACATCCTGTTACCAATGTATGTCACGTCCTATAAAAACAGCCTTTGTTTTTCACACCAGCAGTGTTTCAGTATAGGAGGGAGAATTGAGAGGCAATATAAATGTTTCATCAAAACTAAAACACAGAGTTTAAGTGTAAAATAAAAAACTGTGGATTGTTTTTGTTTGCCGTTTTTTATGTTTGTGAATTGAAGTCACATGTGAAATGTTCCTATGAACTAACAAACATATTGCAAAGAAATCTACTTAACTGTCACACCATTCTCAGTGATATCTATAGTTCATATTCTATTGTGGGCAAAGATACAAGAAAGCCATGTCTTGTTAAATAAAATTACAGAAGTCACACAGAAAAAAACGAACAAAAACGTGTCAAACGGATGAAGAGTTCAGGAAGTTCAGCAATCCTCCTTTGACTAGGAGGATGACACACAGCATTTACAAAGGCAGAACCAGGCACATTAAGCATACACCCACAAGCATAATGCCACTTCAGCAATGTCAGCACATTTCCAATTAGCAAACATACATATAAAAAACAAACCTTACAAGTGAAGTCATTTTTAAATTAACCAAAACAGCTTTAACATACCAACAAGCCTGATGGGTAACATAGCTTATATATGAAGGCAACATTTCCTCAAAATGAACTCAAGAAATCTCATTCTTTACTCACCCGTGGCTTGAGAGGAATCTTTGTTAGGCACTTGATCTTCTTCCATTTCTACACTATCACCACAGGAGCCAGACCCTACCGTCACCAATCACACATCACCTGCCCTTAAGGTCGCACTGCAATACACAGTTAAATGTTGAGGGGCAGGAACACTGCACTGCAGAGCGTACACACACTGACGGATGGTTAGCATGCAGCTCTGAGCTTGCTGCCGTTGTGCTCTTAAAAAAGACCTTCCTCTTGAAGAGTGGAGGTGGACGTTTTTTTTTTTAACCAACATGGAAGAGGAAGTGTATCTAGCAGTCACTGTAGGCCCCACCTACGCTATCACAAGTTGCAACTGTTTTTTAATTGTGTCACTTTAGTAAGAAAAAATGATTTTAAAGCATATGTTTTTACAGATTACTCTGCGACAATTATACCACATTTGAACTTGATATTTGCCGGCAAAGCTTGATATCAGTTTTCAACATTTGATCAAATTAAGTTCTTCATGACATAATAAAAAGGAGATTTATTCAGAGAATTTGGTTGTTATGTATTGGGAATAGTGAAGGTTGTACGGTATGTGGGACATACAATATAACCTTCACAGCTTCACATTAAAGCAGTGTCAGTAAAATGATGATACCTTAAGGGTTACAAAGATAAAAGCAAGTGAGCTTGAACTCAATACCTGCTTGTATGACATTATACAAATGAACTACATATAAATGCTTTTAATGGCTCACCACAGTTTTACCACATGCATTTAGCATGGTACATGACATGAGGTCTGAATAAACAGCTTTTTAACAGAGAAATCACATGCAAAATGCATGAAGGTGTGGTCAGAAAGAAATGTTCTGTCAAAATATCCACATTTGTTTTAAGAATTAAAAAAGTTATGTTAGTGATAACTCATGCCTTTGTTTGTTCTCCCCATCTTGTAAAATGTGCACAAACTAACATTTACAGAGATACATTGGTTACACAAGCATTGTAATACGCAATATCACAGTAATCACAAATTCAGCTTTTTTAAAAATAAAAATGTTTATTTATCCTTGGCACAATGCACCAATAACATTTTGTGCAATATCTGTGGGTGAACTGCCAAAAAAACAACAAAGCCAAGACAGAATAAATATTTAGCAAATTGTAAGATAATACAAACCCTTTGTTGTTTGTTTCTCTTTTCCAAGGGACATTTTATGAAGACTTACACTCCCAAAATGCTCAAAATCAGATTTAACTGAAAATGATTAAGAGGTGGAACGCCTGTTTGGATGTGGGTGGGTTCTCTTTAAAGGGAACTTAAAGGGCTTAAATAACTAAATTACTCCCAAATCAGCAAGTTTGAGGCGTGTAAAGTGGTTGGTCCAACCATAAAATTGTCAACAGCGGGTTTAGTCTGGAAACAATCCCAAAGTGGAGAGAAAAGACACAGGAATAAGGAAAAGCATTGGTATATACCAAGTACTGCAACTGTTGATTGTGTGTTTTGTTGCTTTGGTAAAAGGAAGCTCTGGTTCAAGCATCTGAAGTGATGGCTGATGGATATTAAAAAAATAAAAACAGCAATATGAAGTTTAAAAAAGACAAAATACTAAAGTATCAAAGCAAAAGACATGCAGATGTTTCTCATCTTGGATAAAAGCATTAAAACATTATTTATGGTGATTTAAACAAACAAATATCTGTAAAAGTCATGATTTTGCTCAGTCACATTCAGTGTGGTAACACTCAAATATATGTTTTGTCTTGAGAATGCATTTAACAAAAAGCATTTCATATTGTAATCTCAAACAAGGACAAAGTTAACTGCCCAATTACTGAAATGTTAAAGTTGAATTGCATTCTTTGCAAATATATAAGTTCATTTCTGTATGACAGACAGAAGTTGGGTACTGCAAATGCCATTCCAAATGGCAAGTCTAGTGCCTTTATAAAAGTAAAAATGCAAAACTGACAACGTGACGAAAAACACAAGACACCCCTGTTCCCTTTTTAACTTGTCACACTCCTCCAAACTCTAATCCAGGGATGTTACACAAAACCAAAAATGTAAAGCTGAAACATGATTAAAAAGGTGGTTTGTAAAATACTCCAAAGCTCTCATTAAGTTGCTCTCATAGCTCCTCCCGTGCTGCACTGTCCAAAGGCGACTGGAGCACATCGGAGTTCTGGGCCTCAGTGCTGATCTCAGCCTGCTGCCCAGTCTTTCCTGTGCGCCCTCTGTCCCAGTCTGTACGGACCTTGTCATTGTCCCACACTGTGGAGGTCTCGGTGTCGCTGATGTAGCCGCTGTCGCCTGTGTAATGTGTTGGATACACTAGAAGAGGCTCGGCAGAAAATGCTTTTAGGTCCCTGGTTTCAAACTGTTTCATATAATCAAACCTGTGGAGGAGAAGGTAATGTCAGTCAAAACAAACAAAAATAAATCAAAATGTATGAGCAGAAGTGATAGTTGTGTATCTGCACACTTACACGGGGTGTTTATTGAACATGATGGGCAGAAACTCGTCCACTGGCAAAATCCGCTTCAGGGGTTCAGCTTTCAAAAGCTTCTCCGCCCCTTGTAATGATATCATATAGCCTAGAGTCCAATATGAATAATCTGCTTCCACTAAGTTGTGGATATTAGGCACTGCTTTCTCTGGGCGATCCACCTGCATTCTTTTCCGACCAATATAACTGGAAAAAAGAGATGGAAGGAAAGCGTGAGAAGCAGTTGATTATTTAGGAGATTAAAGGACAATTTGAAGGTTGTGAAGGAGGCACAAACTCACATGAGATCCCAGTCCAGCCCTTCATCCTCCACCTCCTTCATCAAGTTCATCAAGCGCCGTTTGAAGAAGATCTCAAAGCGCAGGTCATCTTCAATCACCAGGGAGGTTTCCAGTCGTCGCTCCACAATCTAAGTCCAGAGACACATTTATCAATCACTTATCTGTCTGGTTCACAAACGTTCAAATGCTTGGCTTCTTGTGTTCACCTCTTTCCAGATGTTGTAGTGGGATAGGAAGCAACCCAGTTCTCCCTTTGTCAGTGGGCGGTTATGGTAGGGGTCATTGTATCCAGGGAGCATGTGGATGCCTAAATTATGAACTTCACTGATATTCATCCCTCTGAAATAGACATGAGAACAAATGTGACAAAGTGACAACGCACAAAAGGGGAAAATAGGTGCTAAATAGGTATAAAGTACTCATTAAATAGAGTGATCTTACGTTCCATCAACAGCTGCAATGACCTTGCATGCTATCTTCTGCTCATATAACGTACTCATCATACGTTCTCGGCGGTCAGTGCGCCTCGGCAGGTTGATCATGAACACCTACACATGGACGAAAGTGGAGCCAGTCAATGTAATAACAGGTTTCTAACAGCAGGGGAGGCATTCAGCACAGCAGGGGAAAGAGGGCCATTTTTGCAGACTCCATCTTCACATCACTCGATACTCACCTCATCGAAGCCCAGTTTGTCAGGTTGTTTTGTAGGAACAGGTACGTATTTGGAAGGCATCACTGGGGGATTTCGCACTACACAGTGAGAGGGAAGATGGATGCAGAAATGGTATACAAGTGATATATAGGAATCCCATGCTGATAGGTAGCTTTAAATAAAGAAGTAGGAAGAAGAATATCAAGCAAAAAGAGAGTTACGGCCCGTCCACACGGCGGCGTGCGTTGAAGCTTGCCGGCAGGCGTGTCTGAAACTCGACCAACGACCAATCACATGAGTCTCCTGCCCCTGACACACAAGCAGCGGTTTGATTGGCTAGAGCTTGTACTGGCATATGATTCGATTGGCTGACGCTTCTGCCGAGGCTTCAAAAGTTGAACATTGCTCAACTTTTGCAGCGAGCCACGCCAGCAAAGCTCCGCTTCACTTCCCACAATGCAGTTCGGCCTTCAGACACATCCACCGCCAAGCTTAAAGGCACGCCGCTGTGTAGACGGGCCGTTAGATGCAGAAGTAAAGCCCTCAGTCGGAAGCTACTCACCATTAACCTCCAGCAGGGAGTGCAAGAAGCTGTCAGCTTCGTCTTGCAAAGTATTGTGGGATCGCAGAGGCACAGGAAGGTTACCATAGGTCTCTTTGTTACACACAAACATTTGAACATCTGTAGAGCAGAGAATTCAAATGTTTTACAAATATGAAGTCAAACCACGTAGGTTAAAAAGGTTAGATACAAATATGTAGATTCAAGCATTGAATTGTTTAATACCTGACATCCGAGCGGAGAACGCAAACACAATGATGTCGTCAAAAGCCCAACTGTATTCTGGGTGTGGCGGGTGAAAGGCCAGCTGCCTGGACGCCTCTTTCCTGAGGTCTATCAGGAAGGTGGAGTGGACCATTGGAACTGCAAAACAGCCCTTGCGCACATGCTTTCTTATGGGTAAGTATGCAGGAGTGCGCTTATAGTAACCCTAAAGAAAAAGTGTGGTTTAAGAGCATTCTTAATATCAAACAGAGCAGCTTTACGTACACAAACATGTGCATCCAATCAACAACACAGTACCTGGGAGGTCATTGCACACCAGAAGTTTGAATAGGCTGCACGGGATTCGAGCATTGGAGCAATGATGGTCTTGTTCTCTCCCATGAGCTTCCAGAGCATGTCAGGATTGGTAAGGAGGTTATCACAGTCTGCCAGCTACACAAGGGAAGGAAATCAAGTGTTAATATGTTTGTGAATTGTTGAAAAGTGTCTAAAAACCTAGATGTTAAACAAACCTCACTGACTGCTCATCTCAGTTCTGTTTTTAAGGGTGAAGGGTTAACATTGGTAGCACAAAATCATTGCAATTCTGGATGTAATTTGCTTCAAAAGTATACCCCACTGAAGCTGGACAATGTTTGCTGGTCTGGGGAATACAAATAGAAACGTGCAGGGTTTTTAAATATGGTTCATGTCGGGTTAAGTTTTGTGTCAGTGTAAGGATCCAGATAAGCTTTAACCATATGAGACAGAAACATATAACTGGGGCAATTTTGAACACCCTTCCTGGTGACAAAATTACAACTGTGGTGGTGCTTTGACTCTGTACTTAGCCTTCTGCTGCTATTATTGGACAATACAGAATTTTGAAGAAGCATAGGCTCAAAATTGCTCAGAGTTATTGTGCTTTACGCTGTGCCTGTAAAGAGTAGTTTTGTTGACCTACCATGAAGTAGTCTGCCCACATCTCACGAGCCGACACCAGCGCTGCTTGCCGAAGTTTCATAACATGCTCATAACGGAGGTCTGTCCATTGTTTCGGACTATCCTCATCACGATAACCTCTACAGGAGACATTTGGGTAATGGTCAGACTGAGCCATTTCAAAAATGCATGGTTTCACCAGAGACTCAAGTAAATAACTCACCGGGGTTCCTCTTTTGGCCTCCACTCCACATAATGGTAAAGGTTCTGCATCTTCACAAGCCAGTCCCGCAGAATGACGGTGGTGTTGTCCTTGTTATGATCAGTTGCCA